ACTGAATATCTGAGTTTCCGAGCAAAGGGTCAGAAGTGCATTATTTATTTTCAAATTGCCATATTATTCTGTGCAAAAGTGGAGAATGTGTTTACAGCTGTCGAGAAGATGAACTTTAATTTCTATATTATTCAGTTTGGCTCAAACAGAGTGATTACGGACAAAAAAAGTTTGGGAGGACCCTGCGGCAAATGATAACCTACATAAAGTTTTGAACTGTGCAGAGCTGGAACCCTCTGGCTGAAAGCAGAGATTCACGTAGAGCTGGTTGACTTTCACTGAGTCAAATCAATGCTAACTACAGAAGGACACAGCAGGGAAAAGACAAATTGGCCATGTGATGTCTAAACAAACCAGAAACCTGGGAGCTTCAAAACAAAACCAGGACTTGACAAGAATACATAAACTAGACTTGAAAGTATTCCTGAAGAAAATGCAAATGATTCTCACTGAGATGCTTAGGTGTAATGGTAAGGTGTATGCAGTTGTTAAGCTATTCTGCGTGTTAAAGTGTGTGTACGATAGGAGAAAGCTAAGCCACAGGCATTACTTGCAAATGAATATAGATATGAAAATCAATTACTGTAAATTAAACAAAATGAAAACTTGCTTGTGAAAATGCTTTCTTGAGCAGCAGTTTTCATTTCATTAGAAACATGCTAGTAACCCACCAAAACACCCAAGCAACTGTCTCAATGCCACAGCAACCACCCAGAACAACCTAGCAGCCAACCAGCAACTCCCTTACAATTACAGAGAGCGGAGTTTCAAAGATGGCTGCCGAGTGAAATGACTTGACTACAACAACAACAACGCTATTATATATACAGTCTCTATTATATTCTGATTCCTATATAATATCTTCAAGAAAGTGTTATAGAATTTATGGCACTAGATATGTCAAAGTAAGCAGAGTGGTAACTGTGTTTACATGATTTAGTGTCACGTGATCTTTCAGAAATCATTACAATATGCAGATTTGGTGCTCAAGTAACATTTCTTATTATTTTCAATGTAGAAAACAGTTGTGCTGCTTAATAGTTCTATGGAAATCATGATACTTTTTTTCAGGAGTCTTTGATGAACATAATATTCAAAACAACATAATCTATTGTAAACAAATATTTTGTAACAACCCTAGTGAAAAATAAAGATACTAAAATGTATTTGAAATACATTTATTTCATGCTAAGTATACTACAAATGCATTTACATTTTATGTACTTAATAAAAATACCCTGCAGTTGTACTTTTGGTGTACTAAACTGGTATACTTAAAGTCTGCTAAATTTGAACAACTAATTTAGTGCTTAGTGCACTTTAATTGTGCGGAAGTAGCTCTGAAGTACAACTAAAGATATACTGAAGTATATTTGATTGTGCTAAAGTTGAACTATTGTAAGTGTACATTAGGTACTCTTTAAATATCTTGCATTTAAAGACAATATTATTCAAAGATCACACAGTCCTCATTTCAGGTTTAATATTAAGAAATGTGCATTGTGCACAAGTAGTTTGTTGCAACCTAGAATTAAACTGCTGGTCTCATCTGGCCAGAGGAGAATGGCACACTATTTTGACACACTATTTCTCTGTTTAATACTGTAAAGCTGCTATTGGCACAATGGAGCGGTTCGCTTTCACATGGCAAAGTTTCTAAACGGACCAAATTTGTTAATACAAGTCATGCGCGAGTAAACTGTTCTCTCATTGGTCAAAGTTCCACGGTTTATTTTCCGGGATTCCACTGAGCTGTCACGCCTGTCATCCGTCAGGATGGAACGATAACAGCTTCGCGGGCTTATTGTTGTTTTTTTTCTTTGTCGTTATATTATTTTATCATTTTTAGCAGGAGTCCAGGATTCATCGGGAAAACATTTTTAAAATGCACCTACGAGGAAGAAGAGCAATAAGACGGCACTATAAAATGAAAAAGTATGCTTTGATTTTGAATGGCGAAGACGTGCTCACCCACAGACATTCACAGGTTCATTTTGAGGTATTAGCAAAACAACAAAGCTATTGTCACAGATCGGCCAGGCTCCGCCATCACCCAATCACAACGATCCCTCTCACCTGAGTTCTGAGCACCTGCACCTGTCACCAATCAAGCACCTCATTACCAGCCTGCATAAAAGCACACACCTCAGACACCCTCACTGTCCAGTCTCGCATGCACGTAGAGGACTCAATGACTTTGCTACTGCTTCCATGTGAATGCTTCCTGCAGTACTTACCTCCTGTGTTCCTCCTAGTTCACGGATCGCTGAGGTGTGTGCTCCTCCTGCCTGCATTCCAGCTCCGGTAAAGCCAAAGACCCGGATTACCCCGCTCATCATATCCTTTGAACGATTCCCTCACCAGCCAAAGACCCGGATTACCCCGCTCATCATATCCTTCGAACGATTCCCTCACCATCACATCCTCTGAACCCTACCCCAGTACTCTCTGTGACCGAATAAACCTATTTTGATATACTAACCTGTTGCGTTAGACCTCTTCCGTTACAGCTATTGCTTTTCACAGAACTTACGTAATTACCCATTATACATTGTGATATAGCCTGGTTCGTTGGCCCGTTAGATCGGATTGCTTTCTCACTATAACCGAACCGCTCCAGAGTTCGTTTTCAATCAAGCCGAGACCACCTCAATCAGGCGATCTCGGACCGATTGTTTTGGCGCGGATCCGAGCACGATTGCCGTGTTCACATATGCCCGAACAAACCGAGCTAAAAACGCGCCAGGTGTGAAAGCACCCTTATGAAATAAATGTATATTAAATGTATAGTTTTTCCCCCTAGGAATATACATTTACTGTTAACTTTGATCAATATATTGCATCCTTGCTGAAGAAAAGCCTTGATTTATTTAAAAAAAAAAAAAAACTTTTGGGTCTCCTTATCCCGATCAGATGGATTTCTAATGAATTGACTGGTTTTGCTGATTTTGTCAGTGAAAATATGACAAGCAAATCGTGACTGCACCTTTACTGAATGGCTAATTTTAAATGAAATGGCCAAAAATAGATCAACCGCTAGTCTATCTTTCCTTGAGCAGCTAGGATGAACACAATGATGAGTGAACTGTAACTTTACAATTCAAGCAGCTGGCTGACTTCCACACCTGTGCTGCCATGGGATCAATCCCTCAACGTTTCAACTGCCTGAACCTGATCTATTACGACTACGAATTTAGTTGCATAATAACACTGACACACAGACAAAGACACACACACACACACACACACACACTGCATACCTGGGAATGCCTGCAAGGTACGCAATAAGTCGTCTGAGGTCCTCCTGTCGTATTCTGTCATGGTTACTCCTGGCTGGAAACGTAAGGACTGGCCCTCCACGACGATCTCTTCCACCTGCAGGCCAAATCAACTCACTATATAATTGGCTGGAACAACAACGTCTGTGTCACTCAAGCATTAGTAAAATAGGGCAATGGCTAATCTTATGAAACTCCAAATAGCCTACCTACTGTATATAGTGATGCTTTTGAACACCATGGCCTACTTATCATAGCCAACCATGCCAAGTTCTGTTTAACTAGCTTCCGTTTTTGTTCCTCCTAGTTCACGGATCGCTGAGGTGTGTGCTCCTCCTGCCTGCATTCCAGCTCCGGTAAAGCCAAAGACCCGGATTACCCCGCTCATCATATCCTTCGAACGATTCCCTCACCATCACATCCTCTGAACCCTACCCCAGTACTCTCTGTGACCGAATAAACCTATTTTGATATACTAACCTGTTGCGTTAGACCTCTTCCGTTACAGCTATTGCTTTTCACGGAACTTACGTAATTACCCATTATACATTGTGATATAGCCTGGTTCGTTGGCCCGTTAGATCGGATTGCTTTCTCACTATAACCGAACCGCTCCAGAGTTCGTTTTCAATCAAGCCGAGACCACCTCAATCAGGCGATCTCGGACCGATTGTTTTGGCGCGGATCCGAGCACGATTGCCGTGTTCACATATGCCCGAACAAACCGAGCTAAAAACGCGCCAGGTGTGAAAGCACCCTTATGAAATAAATGTATATTAAATGTATAGTTTTTCCCCCTAGGAATATACATTTACTGTTAACTTTGATCAATATATTGCATCCTTGCTGAAGAAAAGCCTTGATTTATTTAAAAAAACAAAAAAAAAAAAAAAACTTTTGGGTCTCCTTATCCCGATCAGATGGATTTCTAATGAATTGACTGGTTTTGCTGATTTTGTCAGTGAAAATATGACAAGCAAATCGTGACTGCACCTTTACTGAATGGCTAATTTTAAATGAAATGGCCAAAAATAGATCAACCGCTAGTCTATCTTTCCTTGAGCAGCTAGGATGAACACAATGATGAGTGAACTGTAACTTTACAATTCAAGCAGCTGGCTGACTTCCACACCTGTGCTGCCATGGGATCAATCCCTCAACGTTTCAACTGCCTGAACCTGATCTATTACGACTACGAATTTAGTTGCATAATAACACTGACACACAGACAAAGACACACACACACACACACACACACACTGCATACCCCCCCCTAGGAATATACATTTACTGTTAACTTTGATCAATATATTGCATCCTTGCTGAAGAAAAGCCTTGATTTATTTAAAAAAAAAAAAAAACTTTTGGGTCTCCTTATCCCGATCAGATGGATTTCTAATGAATTGACTGGTTTTGCTGATTTTGTCAGTGAAAATATGACAAGCAAATCGTGACTGCACCTTTACTGAATGGCTAATTTTAAATGAAATGGCCAAAAATAGATCAACCGCTAGTCTATCTTTCCTTGAGCAGCTAGGATGAACACAATGATGAGTGAACTGTAACTTTACAATTCAAGCAGCTGGCTGACTTCCACACCTGTGCTGCCATGGGATCAATCCCTCAACGTTTCAACTGCCTGAACCTGATCTATTACGACTACGAATTTAGTTGCATAATAACACTGACACACAGACAAAGACACACACACACACTGCATACCTGGGAATGCCTGCAAGGTACGCAATAAGTCGTCTGAGGTCCTCCTGTCGTATTCTGTCATGGTTACTCCTGGCTGGAAACGTAAGGACTGGCCCTCCACGACGATCTCTTCCACCTGCAGGCCAAATCAACTCACTATATAATTGGCTGGAACAACAACGTCTGTGTCACTCAAGCATTAGTAAAATAGGGCAATGGCTAATCTTATGAAACTCCAAATAGCCTACCTACTGTATATAGTGATGCTTTTGAACACCATGGCCTACTTATCATAGCCAACCATGCCAAGTTGTGTTTAACTAGCTTCCGTTTTTGTCTAATACAGAATATGATGTCTCACATCATTGCTGGGGTAATATGATTGCTTCATATCGCTATTTCAAACCTACTTCCGTTACACTTTCTTTGAAGTGCAGAGGTGGAAGAAGGGCAAAATTGGAAATGAGTTATATCTCTACTTAGACAAGCTGAGCTGATGATAAGCAAGTTGGCCTGCCAAAGATTAAGATGTTCGTAAGCTATCTGGGTCAGCAGCCAGCTAAACACTCACTGCATTTCCCCAGCGATGCTGCTCTGCCTTTGAGCTCACATATCTCAGAGTGTTAATGACTGTCACTGCAAATACGTTTCCTCTCGTTAATATTCATAGAAATCTGGGCCTTTGGATATGGAGAGAACACTTCTAAATAAATGGCTTCGAATGGAGCGGGAAGTAAGTTTCTTTTTCACTCCTTTCTTAACTATGATGGGTTTTTTAGACATGGGACCATGGTTTATAAATTTTGGGGTCGGCAAGAGATTGAAATATTTTTTAAACAAGCCTCTTAGGCTCACCTGGGCTGCATTAATTTGATCTAAAATACAATAAAAAGTAATACTATGAAATATTTTTACAATTTATTATTTTTATTATTATTATTTTAATTTATTTTAAAATGTCATTTATTTCCGAGATAGCAAAGCTGAATTTTCAGCAGCCATTACTCCAGTCTTCAGTGTCACATAAATAATTCCAACAATCTGATTTGGTGCTGAATTCACATTTCTTAATATTATCAATATTGAAAACCGATGTGCTCCTATATATTTTTGATGAAACCATTATACATTTTTTTCAGGATTCTTTAATGAATATAGTTCAGAACAAAAGCATCTATATTAAATAGAATTTTTCTAACATTACAGTATGTTTTACTGTTACGTTTGATTAATATTAAGCATCTTCTGAATAAAAGCATTACTTTCCTAAAAAAAAAACCAGCTTACTTTTGTAAAATTTACATTTATGCATTAAGCAGACACTTTTATCCAAAGCAACTTACACAAGAGGAACACAGCAATTCATCAAAAAGCCAACAAACATTGCCAGATAGACAACTACTGTAGATTAGGAAACCCAAAACATAGAATAATATATAGGCTCACCTGATAAGAATGCCACCTTTTCTTTAAGGATGGGAAGAACTTCAACAGCCTTCATGTCTTCATTTCTGTGGAACCCTGGAAGGATTCAAAAACTGGTCAGTCTCCAAAGCACATGATGACAAACACATTCACACAACTTGTAAACAGGAAAAGCAACACATGATATCATTTATTCATAGGTTGATTAGCCTACATTTATGAAACAGCACACTAGAACTATGGCAGGATAATAGCTAAAACATGCAGAGATTTATCACATTCATATTTTTTTGATTTACTTCAATGTGTTTAAAATGTGTTTGATTATATGGTGTGCAGTTAATAACATATTTAGTTCTGTATGTCAAGGCCTCCCGAGTCAGATACATGCCCGCTCCACCCCTGATCCTCATTCTCTCTCTCCCCTGCCTACTCAACAGATGGCAAGATCTTAATTCATCAACAGCTTCGCCAATGCATATAACATGCTAATGTGCACTCATTGACACCAATCTCCCTCAATACAAATAGTGTCAAAATCTTGCATTAAACCAATTCGCCAATTAAAATTTCAAATATATCACCCATCTTAAGAATAACAGGGTTATACAAAATATCAAAAAGTCAGTACCCAGTGAGTACATAAAGGTCAATCAGAATTCTGTGCTCAGGAAAAGTATTGGGTTCTGCTTTAAAGGGGTCATATGATGCGATTTCAAGTTTTCCTTTCTCTTTGGAGTGTTACAAGCTGATTGAGCATAGATAAGATCCCTGAAGTTGCAAAGACTAAAGTCTCAAAACCAAAGAGATATTCTTTATCAAAGTTAAGACTCTGCCACGCCCCCCTAAAATGGCTCGTTCTAACACGCCCCCACATATCTACCTCACTATGTAGAAATATTTGCATATTGCCGCCCAAATGTGCACGCAAAGAAAGAAGGCACTTAATGTTGAAGCAGCCATGTCAGGGAGACGCTGTGTGTTTCTAGGCGAAAGCAAAAGCACTTTATTTGGCCTTCCGAAAGTAGATGCATTTAGGAAATCTTTAAGATTACTTACAACAGAACAGCAATGCATTTTATGGACGACCGTTTCGTGAACCTAGGAGAGGAGGTAATTCAGAATCAGCTACTGTTTGCTATTGACTGTACAAATGCGGAGTTTTGTGCATCGTGTGTGTGTGTGCGCGAGCGAGCGAGAGAGAGCAGGAGCGAGACACATCACAGTGGAGTCAGCTGTCTTAACCGTGGCTTGTGTACTGCAATCACATATTCATCACTGTGTCTGTCACGAGACTCTGTTCCCCTTTCAGGCTCTGTCTTTACATTTATTTTGAAAGATGAAGCTCGCGATTATGGTAAGGGGCGTTACATTTCCGATGAGTGCTTGCGGTGTTCAGCCAATCACAATGCACTGGGTCAGCTGGCCAATCAGAGCAGACTGCGCTTGTCGGGAGGAGGGACTTTGTAGAAAACGATGCGTTTGAGAGAGGCGGGGCATAGAGGACCTACAATAATGAACAGTATTTGAAAACCAATGTGTTTTTTGACCATTTAAGCATGTCAACATATTCTGTTACACCAAATACACAAAATAATGATCTTTAAAAAACCATCATATGACCCCTTTAAACATCTTGTTGAACGTCTGATTAATATCTTCTATACAGACACTTTTAATGTTTTCGAAAGAAGTCTTTTATGCTCACCAGACTGCATTTTTCTGATTAAAAAAATGCAGTAAAACAGTAACACTGTGAATTTTCAGTACTCCAGTCTGATCCAGCCACATGAACTTTCACAAATAATTCTAATATGCTGATCTGGTGCTTAAGAAACATTTCGTCTTATTATCAACGCAGAATATTTGTGGAAACTGTAATATATCTTTTTCCAGATTCAAAAGAACAACATTTACTTAAAATACAAATCTTTTGTAACTGTCACTTTACTGTCCCTTTTGATCAATTTACTGCATCCTTTCTGAATAAAAGTATTATTATTATTAATAATATATATATATAACAGAATTCTGGAACTGACACAAGGATAACTTCTGCTGGCACATTTGGTGGTCCATATGCAAACAAATAATCACATAATTGCCAAATATTCACTGGTTAATTGGCCTGTACAATGTTTATCTAAAAATATATGATAAAAAGTAGCCTAAATGTTCCAGACAAAATATATACAGTGCTGTGAAAAAGTTTTTCCTGTTTTTATTTTTTGCATATTTGTCACACTTGAATGATTCAGATCAAAATAATTTTAATATTACACAAAGATAACCCGAGTAAATACAAAATGCAGTTTTGAAATAATGAATTCATTTATTAAATGAAAAAGCTTTCCAAACCTGCCTGGCACTGCGTGAAAAAGTAATTGCCCCCTACATCTAATAACTGGTTGTGCCACCCTTTGCAGCAACAACTGCAATCAAGTGTTTGCGATAACTGGCAACGGGTCTTTCACATCACTGTGGAGGAATTTTGGCCCACTCTTCTTTGCAGAATTGTTTTAATTCACCCACATTAGAGGGTTTTCGAGCATGAATGGACTGTTTAAGGTCGTGCCACAGCATCTCAATCGGATTTAAGTCCGGACTTTGACTTGGCCACTCCAAAACCTTAAGTGTGTTTGGGATCATTGTCCTACTGCATAACCCAAGTGCGCTTGAGCTTGAGGTCAAACTGATGGTCGGACATTCTCCTTCAGGATTTCCTGAGAGTGCAGAATTCATGGTTCAATCAATTATGGCAAGTCGTCCAGGTCCTGAAGCTGCAAAGCAGCCCCAGATCATCACACTACCACCACCATGTTCGATTGTCGGTATGATGTTCTTTTTATGAAATGTTGTGTTGGTTTTACGCCAGATGTAACGGGACACACACCTTCCAAAAAGTTAAACTTGTGTCGCATCAGTCCACAGAATATTTGCCCAAAAGTCTTAGGGATAATCAAGATATTTATTTGGCAAATGTGAGACGAGCCTTTGTGTTATTTTTGGTCAGCAGTGACTTTTGCCTTGGAACTCTCCCATGGATGCCGTTTTTGCCCAGTCTCTTTCTTATTGTTGAATCATGAACACTGACCTTAATTGAGGCAAGTGAGGCCTGCAGTTCTTTAGATGTTGTTTGATCTGAATCTTTTAAGTGTGACAAAAATGTTAAAAACCGGAAGGGGGCGAAAAATTTTTCACGGCATTGTACTTCACCACACTTTCAGAGCACAGCCGAATAAAACACAAATGTATAAATAAATAGGCTACACGTCTACCTAAGTAGGTGTTTTTCACTGTAAAATAGCTTTTTTTTGTTATTGTGTGGAGGTTGGGTTTCATAAAGGCAGGGCTGGATGGGTGAATAATAATATGAATGTTAATGGGAGGAACTTTTTTTCACCAGTTTTTCCTCTAAACCCACAGGGAAATGCCATTACCATATAAAACCCAGCACAGTCCGACTCCACACTCGTGGATGGTACAGTTCACAATTGGGTAGCAAACAGTAAACCACACCATAACACCTTATCAGAGAATTTTACAAAAAAAAACATGATAGAGTGATTAAGATCACTCAGATTAGCTTATATTTTGACACAGAAGAAAATGGTGTAGAGACAATTTTCACTCAGAAATTGCTAGTAAATTTTGCAATTAATTATAAAGAAACAGCTAGTAAAACATTTAATTACACGAACTTTAAAAAAATGGAAAAACTGAAATATATTTTGTTGTGTGTGTGTGTGTGTGTGTAATTATTTATTTATTTATTTATTTTTACCATGTATGCTGTATATAGAATGCTAACAAGACTATTATAATGATTGTGCTCTTCTTGAAGCAAAAAAAGAAGTAAACAAGACTAAAGCCTGGTAAATATAAGCACAGTATCTGGGTCAACATATTGCTATGCGGCCTTAAAGGCCAAGCATATGCAGTGTTTGTCAATTTATTTATTTATTTATTTATTTTTACCATGTATGCTGTATATAGAATGCCAACAAGACTATTATAATGATTGTGCTCTTCTTGAAGCAAAAAAAGAAGTAAACAAGACTAAAGCCTGGTAAATATAAGCACAGTATCTGGGTCAACATATTGCTATGCGGCCTTAAAGGCCAAGCATATGCAGTGTTTGTCAATTTATTATTATTATTTTTTTATGAAGCTGACTCTCATATCCCAATTTGGAAAGGCATCATTACTAAACTTGTTCGTAATTCAGTTATCTAAGTTACACTTTTTAAATTGCTGGTTGTTTATATTGAGACAAATACATAAACTGTGTATAAAATTATTATTCTGAATAACCAGTCTTACTGAAGGGCATAAATGTGCAGTGCATGTCTCCACACTGCTACTGATTTAATTAGCTTTATGAGGGAGTCAGCAGAAGTCAGGCTTGATTGCCCATCATAACATATTATGTCACTAGGCTAAATTGGCCACCACTTCCTGGCGTAAGGTTATGGCTGTCTGCAGGGAGATATAATGACTGGGGCATGTGCAATAGTAGTATCCAGGGACTTCATGGGCATGTTGTATATGTGTGTGTGTGTGTTATTTCCCCCATGTCGATGACCTCATCACAATCCAATATTCGCATAACCTTTACGCTGTTTGTATGTGTGTGGGCTTGTGCGTCACTCCTTCTTCTTATATCTTTACTTATACTTCTTTAGTGACTTCATCTTAAGCCACTACCCACATAAAACGGTTACATACCGGTGTGTGTGTATTGTGGGTGTGCATTCTATTTCTGCAATTCATTTACATTTAGCTTACACATGTCTGCTGATGCTCTGGCGTTTTCAGTGGCCCTAATACAACATGAACCATACATACCTTTGCAGGTACTGAGTTAAAATGTTCTGAACTTTTATCCATCAGCAACATGAATGATGATCCATCAGCAGCGGATCAATCCTTAGGCACATATAATTGTACATTACATATAACATATAACACATTTTGACAAGTAAAAACGTAGCTTTTTGAAAATGCTGTTTTTGCGTAATGTGTACTGGTATCAGGGTGCTCGAAAATGTCATACAACGCTATTTCTAAACATTATATCACAACCAAATTTCATT